CACCACCAGATTGACCTCGCCTCTAGAGTCTCTCGCCATCGTCTCTCTCTCACCGGCGCCTACGGATATCAACCGTCTCCTACCCATTCTGGGATTGGGATTGGAGAGTTATGCTTCCGACCCCGCTCCCTTCATCCGACATGAATCGCGGCAGAGGGGACTCACTAACTCATGAGCTCAAGCTGCTGGTTGGGGCAAATGGAGTGGCTGAATCTAGCCATAGAGAAATCCAAGCTCAAGCTAGTCATGCGCATCGTGGCAAAGACAGCTTAGGACGAGCGGGATCGGATGTTTCAAATAGAGGTACACCAATCAAAGCCACGATGTTTTAGATTTATTTTACTTTTTGCTATTGTTTTTTATTTGGCAAACTATTCTTACCGACCGACTGGCTAGTAACTTGTGCGCAGCGCGTTGGATCAAAACTGATCCAACGCACCACGTTCGACGGTATGGCCCCATGCACGTGATCCAAATCAACTAAACCATAAATGATCACATGATCCAAGTCAACCTTATCATTTTTGTCATGTGCCCTCCACCACTCGTTCTTTCCCCGTGGTCTTCTTCCTCGTGCACCTCTTCCTTCCACACTTTCGTTTTCTTATTTTTCTCCTGCACCTCGCTTGTCTGCCATGAGAGGAACAACACCATCGCTCTCACACGCATCATTTTGGTGGCCATCATCGGTGCCGTGCCCCTCCCTCCGGTAGTTCTTTATTCCAATATTTTTTATATATTCAAAAACAATTTTCCGTGAAGTTTCGGCTCATTTGGAGATGTGTAGAATACGTATCTCTGACGTAGCTTTTTCAGGTCCAGAATTCCAGCTGCCGGTATTCTCCCTCTTTGTGTAAACCTTGCATATTATAAGATAAAAGACATTTAGAATTACTCCATAAAGTATTATAATGAATAAAAACATTGTAAATAGCAGTAGGAAAATATGATGCAAAATGGACGTATCAGGGTGATGGTGCCGAACAGGAAAAGTTGTCCTAGCAGGAAAGTCATGCTGTAGCTGACCTAATCGTCGATCTGAAGGCGCGCCATTGAACCGCTTCGACTAAAGAGAGGGAGCTGCATGGGCCACCAATGAAATCCATTAGATCTCGGGTAGGGAGTCCTGAGCTGGTAGTCTTACACGATGGTAACAGGGACACATGATTTATCCAGGTCTGGGCTCGCTCGACTAGATAGTACCCTACGTGCTACTCTGATTGTATTGATGTACAAAGTAGAAGTTGATGTACCACGAGATTGTGTGTGTGAGAGTTTTTGTCTACGGTCCTCACCCCTCGGCTTATATAGATGTCGGGGTGCCGGGTTTACATAAGTCGGTTACGGGGTAGTCGCGATGAAGACGATCTCTAAGTCTTTATGCGTAGTCTTCGAGAAGTATCCACATGGTGTTCTGGGCCGGCCGATCGTGGCCCACTGGTTGATCATTTTGGCAGTCCTTGGCCCAACTCATATGTCAAGAACCCCTAGTTCAGGACACCATCACCTAATCAGAACTCGTATTTCTCAAAAAAAAAAAACTAATCAGAACTTATTGGCGGAAAATTCGAATGGGGTAAAATGCAGAAGTAATTTTTAAACCAAGGGGTCAAAATGTGACCGATCTCCGATTTGGAGGCATAATCTGTCACAAGCGTATATTTTAGTGATGGGCAACTGCCTAATTTCCCAACCAAGGTAAGCTCAGTTTGGCGGAGAGATTGCGTTTCTATTCTAAATGACTATAAAAATATGTCAGCATGCAGAACTGGGACTAGAAACAGTATTAAGCTATGGACTGATAATTGAAGTGAAAATACCATGATGATCACTTTCCCGTAGCTATATTCTTTTGCCAAGGATAAAGAAATAACTATTGCAACTACTCATTATTATGCTATGAATGATTTTTATTATATGTTTTATCTCCCAATGTCTTATATTGCAGTGCAGCAAAGTATAATCCTTCAGGATCATTGAAATGATATGCAACAGCTATAAAGACAAATGGCACATCTACTGGAGTGAAAAAAATATATTCTAATAGAAGAATATACCTGGAACTGATTGGGAACCCTCCTAATGCTGCAAAGCCATTCAAATGGATTTGGAAATCCTCATGCCTCCCAAAGCAAAAGTTTTTCTTCTGGTTATTATTGCAGGACAGACTAAACACATGGAATGTTCTGACCAGGAAAAATTTCTATATTGAACACACTGATTGTGTTCTTTGTGATGAAGAGCCTATGGAAGAGTACATCCACCTGTTCTTCTCCTGTGATTTCAGTCAGAATTTCTGGATGCCATTAAGAATGGAATGGAATGTTGAAATGAATATCAATGATATGCTACTAGATGGCAAGAAAAGAAATGGAACAATATTCTACAAAGAAATTATAATGGCAGGTTGTTGGACCCTTTGGAAGCATGGGAATGATATATTATTTGACCATAAGCAAAAGGATATTCTATACTGCATCAATTGCTTCAAAGAACACTTTGAGATACTCATACAAAAGAGCAAGCCAAGCCTCAAGGAGGGCATGCAGGACTGGCTAGATACATTTATTCTCTTAGGGTATGCCCTAAAGATGTTGTATATCCCCTTGTAAATACTCATCACCATATTATTAATGAAAAATCAGAGTTACAATAGGGTTTTTACCCTACTGTGTTTGCTAATAAAAACCATATATTTTAGGGGTAAAAAATGTAATTAACTCTTTAATAAAAGGTGAAGCCGGGGGAAACTTCTTTTTGGTCAAAATTGAAACGAACACTGAAGAGAGCTGTAATTTCAGACGCCATATAAACTTTTCACATTATTATTTTCCTAGACAATAACAATCATCATAATTATTCCTCCCAGTCACCAATCTAGAACTACTACTGGTATACCCGGGATCCCAGACTAGAACCACATGGCAACACGTATATCTCCAGAGATGCACTAAAAAAGAATCTCCAGAGTTGAGACCGGCCACCGCGACTCCGCGCGCTTGCTTGCTCACTCCCAGATGCCGACCTCCATGAATCCGTCCTCGGTGGCGCAGCCCCTGAACATGCCGGTGCAGTTGAAACCGTAGGCCACCTCGCCGGTGCCAGACACGGCGATGAGGCCCGCGAATCCCTCGTCGAGCCGCTCCTTGACGCAGAAGTCCACGGCCTCCTGGAGAGGCAGGCCCTTGTACTCCATGACGGCCGCCACGTCGCGCGCCAGCGTGGAGCGGATGATGGCCTCGCCCTCGCCCGTGCACGACACGGCACAGTGGCCGCACGCGTAGGTGCCGGCGCCGATGAGGGGTGAGTCGCCGATGCGGCCCGTCATCTTGTTCATGAGCCCGCCCGTGGACGTGGCTGCCGCTGTGTGGCCGCTAGAGTCCACCACCGCGCACCCTACCGTCTCTGGCGCGTAGATGCTGATGGGCAGCCCGTTCATCACCATGCCGCCGTTATCGTGGCTCTCCGACGCTGCGGCCTCGGCGAGCGGGATGCGGTAGTCGAAGAGGATGCTGTTGGACTCCTTGGCGAGCTTGAGCATGCCCACGTTCTCCTCCGTGATGAAGTAGCTATTGTCCACGGTCTCCAGGCCCTGCAAGCACATCAAGTTTGTTTGAAGCCAAATGAGATCAACACATATATTCCACTTGTAAAACTGTCTTTAAAGTTTAAACTCAGTTAACTCTTGATGCAAATAAAGATCAACACATTCCATGGGAAACATAATCAATTTTATAGTTTCCTTATTGAGTGGGGGACTGGGGGTGCATTCATTCTTGGTAGGAAACATAATCAACGGAGGTTCTCTAATCTCAATTCATTACCTGCTCGCGGGCGAAATCCTCGGCGCCGCCGAAGGCGAGGTAGGAGTGTGGGGACTTGTCCATGACGAGGCGGGCGAGGGAGACGGGGTTGCGGACGGTGGAGACGCCCGAGACGGCGCCGCAGCGGCGGCCGCGACCGTCCATGATGCGGCCGCGGTCTTATTTATTGCCATGTATGACACATAGTAGCATCACATTTATTATGTTATGGTATCTATCTATGTTACTATGACCATCTCTTTTTTTAATTGTCTGCCACATAAGCATGTTTGCGAGTCCCAACTGCATGATACTACTTATATTACTCCCACTATGGCTAGCCTTACATGTACGTATGTGTTAACTTGCTCGCTGGGACAGCCTCGTCCACTACGTGTTCACTTCATCTTAAAAACATTCCTTTTGACAACTTAGGAAAGACATTTGAAGTACTATTCATTAATTCAGAATTTAATAGGCATGCATTTAGAAACAGTTTTTTACAACTGTAAAAAACATTGTTTTCTTTTAATATTTATGCATTTAAAAAATGATTTTTTTTCAAGAGTTCACTATATTGAAAAAGATTCCGACTTTGGAGATTTCTAACATGCTAAAAAATGAAACGAATTAAAAAAATTCATTAAATCAGAAAAATACCCAGGAATTCTTAATATGGTCATGAATTTTATAGAAATGTTCTTGAATTTTAAGAAAAATATTCACAAATTAAAAATGGTTGTGTAATTTCTGATGAATTTAGAAAAATCAGAAATTAGAAAAATATTTGATAATTATTAAAAACGATAATGAAAATTTCAAAAGTTTTGATGACTTCTAAAAACTATTTAAATTTGTAAAAATATTTCCCAATTTACAAAACAGTTCCCAGTTCTAAAAAATGATAAATAATTTATATAAATCCCATTTTAAAAAATCATGAATCTGAAAAAGTACACACATTTGTAAAATATATGAATTTTTAGAAGAAAAAAAACCACGAACCCTACATACCTAAGAGAGTCCTCTCAACTAACTTATTTATCTTAACATGCAAGCATCCTCATCATACAACCATGAATGTGATAAGGTCCACCTCAACATGCAATCCTGCATAGGAAAGAGTCAGCACAACATTCAACCATGCATGGGAAAATATTTCCCACTCAATTATTCTACTTATATTCAATAAATACTTTTACAATTATACATAATCAAATATAATAAGTTGTATGTAGTTTTAATTTTGGCTCTACTTATGAGCCCAAATTTTTATCAACCAATTCCCGCAGCACCCAGCAGGGTATCATCTAGTTTAGAAAATGTTTACATAAGAGCGCATTCTTATATTATGGGACAGAGGGAGTAGAAACAATTGTCAATAAATTTTTTGGCCAAAAAGGGGTGTGTGTTTCATACCAAACATGAAGTGTTTCCCGTAAAGGGATGGGGAATACAATTTTCCAATTTTTCGTAGGCACCATCGTAACCTTTCCTTCTTTTATCAACCACAAGTTGGTATTTCAATGGGTCTTTTGGCCCAAATGATTGGAATACCTAACAGGTTTCAGTTTGCAAAGAAATATAAGATTCTTTTATCACTATTTTAGTGATCTAAACACTCTTATATTTGTTAAGAGAGGGAGTAAATAGATAAGACGAGGAGACAGGAAAATAGGCGAGGACGGACACGACTCCATGTGGCGCACCTGCCTTGATGTACTAATCATGTGTATACAAACCACATACATACACAAATACATGCGTGTGGTTGTACGTACCAAACATCAACCATTCACGGAGCTTCGCATGAAGTCTATCACCAAAGCCACCGCGCAAACTAAGCCTAGCTACCTGAGAGCGTGAAATGCTCAGGTTTTTTGTGCTTTCTAGTCGTCCAAAGATGATTAAGTTTTAGAGCTGGCGCGAGCTCTGGCATTTTTCTGGATTTATTTTAGCCTTTTCCAACGATGTCGTTCATTAAGTGAAATGATGTTTTCATCGACTACAAGAAGCTTGTGATGACTTCATCAATCTTAAAATTGTTAGTCCGGTCTCTTAGTGGTGCTCATAGGGGTAAGCTGTACTACCCACACCTGTTTTTAGGGTTACCCAGGCCAATTTGTCTTGATGAGCTAAGGAAGATTAGGGATTCCATGTACCAGTACTATTTTTATGTGCTGAAATATCGTTGCCATTATCAGCTATGGTGCATCACGTACGACCTGGGCGGGAGCACCGAGTTCTTAAAAAACACGGTGTACCGATCCATTGAGAATATAGTATTTTATTTTATTTTATTTTTTGCATGGAAATGATCCTGAGGATGGCATTGACAAAATTAATCCATAGAATAATCTGCGAAACATCCTCACATGGCATAATCTCCATTACTTCCTATTTGCCATGTAGTTGTTTCAGCTCTAAAAAGCCTACTTGTCAAGCATTAACATTTGTAAGGAAGATACTTAACTTTAGCTAGTTTTCTCTCCCTTTGCATACTACTCCCTCCGTTTCCAAATACTTGTCTTTCTAGGCATTTCAAATGGACTCAACATACGGATGTATGTAGACATATTTTAAAATGTAGATTCACTCATTTTGCGCCGTATGTAGTCACTTGTTGAAATCTCTAGAAAGACAAGTATTTAGGAACGGAGGGAGTACTACATTATGTACAATAAATAAGACACATGTATAGATAATTACTTTTTCAAAGATTGTGAGAAACAATATATCAAGGCTCAAACATGATGTTCTTTCACAATCATCAGCAAAATTTCACCGGCCTTCTCTTGGTCCATCATAGCAATCTTTATATCAAGCTCTTGCACATCCCTATCGAACTTGCTTCAAGTTCGGAATTTTTATGTGCTTCTTCATTCTGAATATCAGCAATGGTTTTAAGATCGGTGTACTTACGCAGCCAGGTGCCAGTAGGCCCGCACGCCATGTAATCATCAACTCTTGCAACCCAACCAAATGTCTCTGGCCCATCGTACTCCTGCCACTTCTAGTGCCTTTTGCCACATCATTGTCTCAAAGTGATTTTCAAAGCCCCCCTTTTGGGTACTCAACAATGACACGCTCGGTATGTCTGCCGTGTTTGTCCCACAAAGGAATAACATTGAGTCCAGAAAATAGCAAGAACTGATCCCTGAAATGGTTTCCTTGTTCTCCCACGTGGCACCTGTTCTTCTATTCGATATGCACATTAATACGAGCACCCATCCATGGCCAGACGAACCTGACGAGGTTGACCATGCTCCATTGCCATTTTTTGAGATTGGGGTTCAGACCCACTAATTTGCATATTCTTCTGAACTAGTGTCCAGTGTCAAAAATATAGTACATCTATGACGTACAAATAATCGAGAACTCTTAGTATGACCCGAGGATAAGTAGAATTAACTCACACTTGACAACAGAGGATCGACAAAAAAGCAACATAACAAAAGAAAAAAAAACTGCCAAATTACGAGAATGTAGTGTGTTCGACATGGACGTTTACCTTGGTTACAAGTAGACGGCAGTGGCAACGATAGTGAAATTGATTAGCACACGAGACGGCCTCCCAAGGGACGTCATGCTTCTTACGGATCACATCGACCTCTTTCTTCATGTGCAATGAGGCGAACCGCTTGATGGCGATAAGAGGATGATCCAATGAAGTGGAAGATGGTGTCGCCCGGCCCGTGGTGGAACGAGACAGGGTGACCAGGCGTTGTCAGTATTTTCGAAGGAAGTGCGAATCAACCTGTGGTTGAGTTAGTTAGGTGGACAGTGGTATCCCCAACCCACCAGAGTTCAAATCCTGGTGCTCGCATTATTCCTAGATTTATTTCAGGATTTCCGGCGATGCGCTTTCAGTGGGAGGAGACGTTCCCGTCGACGACGAGGCGCCTACGGTGACTTCGTAAATCTCAAGATGATATGCCGGCTCAGTCTCTCGGAGGTGCTCATAGGGGTAGGGTGTGCGTGTGTGCGTTCATAGGGATGAGTGTATGCGCGTGTATATGAGCGCTTGTGTCTGTACTGATGCTCAAAAAAAGTATTTTCGAAGGAAGTTGTAGCAGTTGTGCTTATGTGTGCCCTGTGTGTTTCCTCTCATAAAGAAGGAATATGAGGGAATTGAAAACTATTGTTGGCTTGCCAATGCTGTCAAGATTTTTTTTTGATTTGGTGACTAATGGAACTTGTTTAGATGCTTAAAAATATATAAAATATTAATCAAGGAAGTGGCGGATGAGTGTGTTCCCCTAACACATCAACATTTGTTTAAACACAACTTACTTGATTTTCTACGTAAAGAATATCTCTAGATCATGTTAAAAAAGGCCAATAAGAAGAAAAAGGAAAGGTTGACCAAGGACATGCTTTGGCATTGACGCCAGCCAAAACCTGGTATCGGGCAGGATTGGGACAAAACGGCCAGGAATCACAGCTTGGCGCATGGGCAAAGCGCACCATTGTAGATGTCTTACGATGATCATAAGCTTTCTTTTTTTTCTATTGACAACATATCATAAGCCTTTGTAAGTTATGATTTGTTTGAATAAGTAGCTAAATATATCATCAAACATTGACACCTTATATACTTGTTATCTTTGAATGGAAAGTATAACAAAAATTCGTTTTTCCAAAAAACCAAACAAACAGTACATGTATACAACATGTCAATGTTTCTGATATCTCCAACTACTTATCCCAACAAGCGGATATCATAACTAACAAAAGG